CTATGGACAACGAGATTCAGTCCATGTATGACAATCAAGTTTGGAACTTGGTTGACAATGTACCTAGTTGTAAGACGGTCGGGTGGAAATAGATCTTCAAGAAGAATACGAACATGGATGGGAAGGTACACACATATAAGGCGTGATTGGTTGTGATGGGCTTTACTTAAACTACCGGGGTTGACTATCATGAGACCTTCTCACCAGTAGGAAAGATCAAATCTATAAGGGTTATGCTAGCCATAGCTATGTTTCACGCTTATGAAATACGGAAGATGGATGTCAAAACAACTTTCCTTAATGGGAAGTTGGATAAAGATGTTTTCATGAGTTAGCAAGAGGGTATTGTCGATGCAAAATACCCTAATAGAGTGTGTAAGCTTGAGAAATCCATTTATGAATTGAAACAAGCATCTCGTAGATGGAATCTTTGTTTCGATGAGAAAATCAAAGAGTTTAGTTTCTTGAGAAGCAAGGATGAGTCCTGCGTATATTGCAAAGCTAGTGGGAGTGTAGTTAGTTTTCTCGTACTGTATGTGGATGACATACTATTCATAGGAAACGACATCCCAATCTTGTCGGACCTTAATTCCTGGCTTGGGATGTGGTTCGCTATGAAGTCCTCAGAGAAGCTGCTAATATTCGAGGGATAAGGATATTGAGAAATAGGAATAAGAGGCTAATAGTATTTAGTCAAAGTACTTACTTGAATAAAGTGATAAAACATTTTAGCATGGAGAATTCCATGAAAGAGGAGTTACCAATCCAAAGCAATACCAAGTTGAGTAAGCCTCAAAACCTGTGTACCAAAGTTGAGATAACAGAGATGAGCCGAGAACCTTATGCTTTCGCAGTTGGTTCGATCATGTATGGTATGACATGTACTCGCCCTGATGTGTCCCTCGCTTTGAGCATGGTCATCAGATACAAAGAGAATCCTGGTAAGGGACATTGGACCGCAGTAAAGCACATTTTTAAATACCTATGAAGGACTAAGGAATGGTTCCTTATCCTTGGTGGGATTGATGATGTGAGAGTGTGAGGGTATGTTGATGCCATTTTTCAGACCGACCGGGATAATTTTCGCTCTCAGTCAGGCTGGGTGTTTACCCTAAATGGAGGAGCAATGACTTGGAAAAGTTCCAAGAAGGAGACTGTAGCTGATTCAACGTGCGAATCAGAGTACATAGCATCGAGCGAAGCATCAAAAGAGGAAATATGGATAAAGAACTTCATCGAAGACCATGGAGTTATACCTACCTTAAAGGATCCTACGGAGATTTTCTACGATAACGAAGGTGCGGTTGCCTCGACCAACGAACTAATGGATCATGGCAAATCCAGGCATATCAAGATAAATATAACTTTATTAGACATCGGGTAGAAGAGGGACTCGGTGTAGTGAAGAGGGTATCATTAGAAGAGAACCCAGCATATCACTTTACGAAGGGAACGGGGTAGGGTTAAGCACTTGCAGCATGCTAGGAGCATAGGGTTGAAGGACAATATTAGTTTTAGTGATTAGATAGCTATTTAGAAACTTATAAAAGATAAATTGTAATTGACATTTTGATGATTAAATAAAGGTGTTTTATTTATAAGTAAAGCTACTATCTTGTGTTAGTTCTTTACTATTGTTTCATTTAGCATGTTTTGACTTCCTGAATCGGGTTGGAAGTAAGTATGAGAAAAGACTATCATGAATCGAATTGTAGATTATCTAGATCGTTTAAACATAGAAAATTTTTGCTGCAACGTTCATGAGTGCTTCTGAAATGTGATTTGAGTATTAGATTAAACCCACGCTCACATGAATCACTTCATGGAATTTATCATGAGTGATTGTGAGATGATAATATCATATAGTCTTTAAACCAAGGTATATGAGTTGTTGTTTATGAGTTGGTTGTGCATTGATAATGTGTAAATGCATTTGTACCTTGATGTTATAAAACACATTATTGTGTACGATTTGATAAGTAAATAGTACAATCATATAAGTCGAAGTTTATTTTTTCCTTTTATCCTACGATGGTAAAAGCGATATCTTGGGCCCTCAAATGATTTTGTTTTAACTTATGTGTCAAGCCTGGTCACGACTGAATTGATATGTTCAATTAAGTTCTATGTCAGACAAATCAGAGATCGAGAAACAAACTGCTGGACAATAAGTATGACTATGTTCCATTTAGTTGTCCATACGATATCTTGAGAATGGAGGATTGTAAGATCTCTTATCTAAAGAATGTGTCAAAGTTTGACAGTGGCTTTTGAGAGCTACGATTGTTAATCAAATTTTGAAGTCGTACTTGAATTTATAGTTGTTAGACTTATCCGAGTGGGAGATTGTTGGATTAGGTGTGTGAGCCCATAACTACATTTGGTATGTACTTGACCCGATTGTAGCATGGTCCTTTTGGGTTGCCTTCACCAAAGCAACTTGACAGGATGCATAATGGAGAAAAGAGGATAAATGTGATTTATTAATATGTCAAGTGAGTAATATACTAAAACAGAAATCCTATTATTTAATTAATATTGGTCAAGATTTAATTTAGAAATAATTTTGTGGTCAAAAGAGGTTAATTGAATTAAGGGGGCTGATATTGTAATTATAAGATAGTTGCAAACTGGGTTGAGGATCTCTTAGGTAAGAGATGGAAGAAATCTTATGGAATCCCATAAGAATTTCTTCAAAGGATAAGCTTCTGGAAGATTCATATGGGATGCTTAGGGCTTAAGCAACCAAATTAGGTATTTGATTGAAACCTTAATTCTTCAGCTATATAATGAGCCCCAATGCATCCCAAAATCGTCCATTTGAAACCCTAGAAGGATCTCCAACTGATTTTGAGCCTCCTCCTGTATCTCTAACATTCTACAAATTCTCTTGGTGTTTGTGATCGATTAGAGGTATTACACTTATGATACTAAAGCTCTCAAAGGCAAGGATCTTCAAGCTACATTTGAAAGCTAACATCATAACTTTGTTTTAGTAATGTTGATTTCGATTTCTGTATGATTGATTAGGGTTTACAAGGTTTGGATGATTATTGCATGTTCAATTATAAAAACTATATCCAAAGCTATAGGGTTTGCATGTGCACCATAGGATTGTTGTTATTCTCAGAACCCATCAATAATACACTTCGTACCCTTCATACCTACACTACTAGAAAAAATGCCTATTACGACGCTCATTGCACGTCGTAAAACGCTCAGACGACGCGCAAATGCGTGTCAAGGAAGGCCCTGTCATAAAGAGAGACGACGCGCATTTACGACGCACATTTAGGACGCGCATTTACGACGCGCAGTTACGACACGCAATGCGTATCAAGGAAGGCCTTGTCATAAAGGAAGACGATACGCATTCGCATGTCGTAACCTTACGACGCGCGTGTTAATGACACGCAATGCGTATCAAGAAAGCCTCTGTCAAGAAAGGCCATGTCATAAATGAAGATGACACGCATGTTTGCGTATCATAATTTTAAATGTTAAAAAAAAATTATTTTTTATAGATTTACTAATTTTCAAATTAAATTTGCATTTAATGTCTCACAATATAAAATAAAATATCATATACAAAAAATATAATCCATTTCATAAAATTTAATGTCTTACAATTCTATTTCTTACAATATATAAATTTACATGTAAAAACATCTCTACAGTCTACATGTTTCATGCTTGATTTCCATATTTTATCGTTTTTAAAAACAAAAGTTCTAACAAGAAACCTTCTTTTAGTAATGCAAGTGATGCTCTTGATAAGCTGATATTCTTAAGTGTAACGGATCCCTCATTACTTGGAGATGCTGGTGAGCTTGAAATCCAAATTACACCTGATCCAGAAAAAGGGACAATCACAATATCATAAGATTACTTACTTTTCTTCATTCTTGAATCTTTCCTCATAAAATACAACTCTACAAGAGATTTATAAACCTTTTTTACCCTTATTGTAGAGACACTGGTATTGGAATGCCAAAGAAGAACTAATAGACTGCCTTGGAACCATTTCTCAAAGTGGTACTTTACCTTCTTTCATATAAATCATTAGCAAATATGTACTACATTACATTAATTGGTTAATTTTATAAAATGTTGAATCTTTTTGTTTAGGAGAACAAGGATCTTGGAAATGACAACAGTTTAATTGATCAGTTGTTTTTTACACTCTCTGGCACTGCAGTAGAAAAGATGTATTTTTTTTATACCAAGTGGCTCTCAGTCTCACTTTACAAATTTTCATGTTTTAGGAAAACAAAATACCTGATTAGGACCCTTAAATATTGAGTCATCAACTGCAATTGAAGGTTTCTTGATGAAAGCCCTAATTTTCTTAAAGAGGAAGAGGCGACTAATCCGTAAATGGAAGCCTTTGGATTAGCTAGTCATCCAGTTTCTCTGAAAAATAGAACACCAGAATCAAACAACTATCAGTAAGCAATCAAGTTCCAAAACATTAAGTCACAAAGATATTATAATGGAATGAGACATGTTGAAAAGTTCATTATTTCATGTAGTTATTATTATTTATTTTTTCTTTTAACCAAACCCATAATTCCATTTTCAATAAAATGGTAAGTCAAAGATACATCCCTGTTTAACCTAAAATCCATCAAAACATTGAACTAACATACTAAATCAAGGATAATGCAAAGCAGATTCTTTTGGGTAACCCACCAACAACAGGGGTAATTTGTCCATCTACATGCAGTAGATTGTACTAGGGACTTAAAGCACTTATAAAACTATCTTATGGAGGGTATTTTGGTAAACCCACCAGCAATAGGGGCAAGTCTGTCCAAAAAAATATCTGAACGGCCTAATCATATTTAAATAGCATCAAATCAGCACCAATCTCTCTATATCTTCTTCATTTTGTCCAGAAAAACAACTAAAAGACCTTGAAAGCACAAATACAACAAAAAAATATTAAAAATATGTATTTGAAGGATTATTTAATGAAGAGAAAAAAAAAGTAACTTTATTTACAATTTTACCCCTGTAACTGCAGTTTCTGTCCATGCCCAAGCTAATGGAAGAAAATACCATGGGGATTTAGCAATCATGAAAAGCCCCAATGCACATGAAGTGGCAAATATCAAAACAGATTTCCATGCTTTCATGTTATCAATTTCAAATACCTTTTGAGAAAAAAAATAAAAAGTTTTAAATATGAATATGTTCAAATAAAAAAGGATAAAAATTAATAAGTAAGAGTGTAATACGGTCTTGGGAAGAGTATCGATGATGTCTTCAAAGTGATATTATCTGAAAGTGGTTCTCCAATTTTTCTAAAACCGTAATTTCGCATAATTCTTGTCTTCTTTCTGCACTGTTTGTTGGTAATGGTGGTGTGATAGGACTGGCTACTGTTTTGACTATTTTACCCTTTCATAAAGGAATCATTGCAAGTTATATATCAGGGTTTAAGAAATACCTTAGAAAGACCATCAGTAAGGGCCTGTTTTGACATAATCACAAAACTATAAGGACTTAACTATTATATAATTTAAAAAAAAAAAGAGGGGGAGGGGGTTTACGTATCAAGGCAAAGATCTGCCAAAGAACTGCGTCTTTAATAAAAAAAGGAAGAAATCAACCAAACGCAACCAAAGATTCAAATTACAAGAAAAAACCATACCTTCTTGGAAAACCATTCATGTTTCCAAAAGAGTTGTTTGGAAATGAAAAACCAGCAACAGGGGCCACAACGTTTAATCCCACAATCTCTATATTCATTGGCTTCCCATCAAGTTCGACATTGTTATACCTTTTGACAGCCGCTAATGCATCTTGCCTTCTTTAATACAATATCATAGCCATCCCCTGAAAAAAATAATTAGTTACAATAGAATCACAAACATGAAACTTTACAAAAGGTACTAAAACCTTGAATTCATGCCCTTGCACACGAGTAAAAGAATATGGAAATAGATTTACACATCTTCAAAGAATCTTTAAGATGTATTGTAATTTATACTAACTTTGCCTTCTACCAAGTACCAAACTTAGAAGTATAAGGATTTCAATTTCACGTTTATTAGATCGTCAATAAAGAAGAAACAACCAAATCAGTTTGATTTTTTGAAATATTCTAAGTCTGATTTTTTATGGTTAATCCAAACATTGGAGTACGGTATCCAGATCTAGCCAAAGTTAGCTATAAGAGGTAAAAAGAAAGTATCAATCACCTTAATATCATCATTCGAGATACTGTAATCAAGGTTTGATATGTAAAACTTCGTCCCAGTTTCAATCGCAGATGGATGGCCGCCAGGTCCAACTTTACCCATGACATTAGCATAGACGAGATGCACCTTTGTCTTGTTTGAAGGGTTTTCTAGAACAGCTCTAACAACCTAACACAGAATATAAATTACCATCTTATTTTATTTTATTTAAAAAAAAGGACTTTATAAGGTTTAAAATAAATAAATAAACACCTGAAACATCGGAGTGATGCCAGATCCACCAGCTATCATTCCAAAGGCTCTAACCTGACCTGGTTGATACCTAAAACGCCCCTGTAAAAGTAATTTAAAATATTTAAAGCTCAAGTCCATTCACCTCCGAATAGAAGAATGTAATTAGTTTGATTACCAAAGGCTCTAACCTGACCTGGTTGATACCTAAAACGCCCCTGTAAATGTAATTTAAAATATTTAATGCTCAAGTCCATTCAACTCCAAATAGAAGAATGTAATTAGTTTGATTACTAAAGGCAAGGTTGCAGAAAACTTCTGAATCAAAATCAACTTTCTTAAGCATTGATACATCAAATCCAGTTATCAAATAATCCAACAGAAACCATAGAGGAGTAGCATTACCTCAGATTTCTCCACCAGTTAGTGATCCACAACCTGAAATTAAACAAAAACAATAATAAGTTTTGTAACAGATCTGGGAAGAATCAGAACAGTGGAAGAAGGACGTAACATAGCAGAAGGTGTGGGAATCAAGTGGGGAAGAAATAAGCCATAAATAGAGTAGATGATGAATCCAAAGGGTCAAAGATGCGGGGTTTTAGAGGAAAACTCGCCTGATTTGCATTTCTTGCAGACAACATTTGATTGTACCGATAACGACCCCGCTCTAGGGATCCCGTATCTTCCCTCGCTTTACATACATTAAAATAAATAAATCAGAATTTGAAACAAAAAACAAGTCTTTGAAAGAAAGTTATTTACAAAATTACCTGATAGCTGGATTAAGAGGGGAAGAAGCAGAGGGAAGATTAGTTCTATGAATGAAATTGGAAGAACCAAGAGCTGAAGGAGTGGGACCGGGACCATATCCAGGAAGCGTAGGTGGTCCAGTACTGTGATTCAGAACTGGTAACCCACTCGGACCTTGAAAACAAACTGGAACAACATCTGGGTTCGATAAGACTGGAAAGCGTTGGACGGTGGGGCGGGGCTAGACGGAGGTCAGAAGTGGGAGGCGCCAACACCAAGAGAAACGTCGGAGGTGGGAGAAGCTGTCGACGTCGAGAACTGAGAAGAAGAGAAAGGGTTTGTCGAAGTGAGAAGGAGAGAAAGGGAAGTTGAAGAGAGAATGAGCAGTACAAGAGGGCATAATCGGGGCAAGTTCTTGAAAAAAAATCCCTAGCTACTAGGGAAATTAAAGTGGAGGGAGAAAAAAAAAGGAAGGCGGGGATTTTAAGATTTTGGGATTTCATTTTCCCCAGATGGAACGCGCGCGTTCTATTAAAATTTATAAAGCGACGGTCGTAGACGACACGCAGGTGCCCTCCGTGTTTTTATTTATTTTTTGTTTAAACACTAATTTTAGGGCACGCAAAAATGCGCGTCTGAAATCCTTTAAATTTTGGAAGAGATGACATTATTTTTTAGACACTCACCTTTGCGTATCATAAATCACTGCGTGTCATGGTTCGCGCGTCGTAAAAGGCTATTTTTCTAGTAGTGCTACCAAATATTTCCTTCTTGTTGGATATATATATATATATATATATATATATATATATATATATATATATATATATGTATATATATATGTATGTATGTATATAGGTAGGTTCAAACGTTTCACACAATTATTGTATGCTTGAATGTACCAATAAGAATTTAGTAAAATTTATATTATTATTTAATACAATAAAGATAGATATTAAATGGTTTCCATAATTATATGTATATTAAATGAAATCCATATTTATAATTCTTTTTTTGGAAAGTAATTAAATTCGTCATTAATGTTAACACTAATGTTCTTTTAGGAAAATTTTGTATCCAAAAGAATAAGAGTGTATTCTTGCAGAACAACAGTGTATTCTACTAGAATACATTCTCGTTCTTTATATTCAATGCAACTTTATTCTATTTTAAGTGAGTGAGTCCTGAAAGAAAACACGAACACATACATAAATGATGGGTTTTAAGCATATCTACATTCCTATGTGATCATGCAATCCTAATTGCTTTGAGTCTAAGTTTTTCACTAATTGAACATGTAAATAGAACACCAAAGCAATAACCCTTGATCTAGCATACAAGATTCGAAATTTATATAAAATTATGGTTAGAAGATTACATCGCTGGTTATAAAGTAATCACAAGACAATCCTTGATGATCATTGACCCTTTAAAGCTTAGTGCCCCAAGTTTTGCACCTCTAATGGAGTCACAAACACCCAATGAAAAAGACGAGAAGAGAGACACTTAGAAATTGGCTAAAGTTTCTTTCTTTCAAGCGTTGGCCGAAATTTCAAGTGCTTAGGGGTCTTTATATAGTTGTTGCTACTAGGGTTTTTAGGCAAACCCTATTTCCTACTTAAGGCTGAAGCAGCCCACGGAATCCTCCTTATGAGGCCTCAGACGAAATCTATAAGGCCTCCCTATAGCATTTCTCCCACACCTAATTAAGGAGTCCAATAACCCAGTTCTTCAACTATCAATGATTTGCAAAACATCCACTCCTATTATTAGTCAGTTCCTTTAATCCAAAATCAATATCAAATTAATTTTTGATTAAACACTAATTAATAATATGATTTCCAAATAATATATTAAAATTTTAACATAATAATAAAATCATTTTGAGTACCAATTTATTATTTCACATAATAAATTCTACTCTCTCTCCACTAGTCATCGTTTCAAGTTGGATAAGTGAAGGAAACCCACAAGGACTATGCTACATATCAAATAAAGTACATATGAATTAAAGTTATGGGCTTAGACACCTAATCTAACAGTATCCCACTTGGATAAGTCTAGTAACTATTATTACAAGTATGACCTCAAAATTTGATTAACAATCATAGCTTTCAAAAGCTGTTGTCGAACACTGATCTAATCAATTATGTGCGCTTTAGATAACTGGTCATATATCCTACCATTATATAACTTATCGTATAGAAATGAGACATGGCTGATAATCATTCTCTCTGTCCAATGTTTGTTTCTCGATTTCTGATTGATGAACACTAACTAATTGAAAAATCAAATCAGTCCAGGCTTGGCCAAGCACTTAGGGTGCCATCACTTAATCATCGACAGACCCACAAATATTGCTTTTATCCCATTTAGGGTAAAATAAACGGATAAACTTTGACTCATACGCTTTCACAATTTGCTCATCAAATCACACACAACAATACGTTTTATAAAATCATTTTAGTGATGTATTTACGTATTATAAATGCATAACTGACTCCCAATTAAGGAGTCCAATAGCCCAGTTCCACAACTATCGATGATTTGCAAAACAACCCTCCTACTATTAATCAGTTCCTTTAATCCCAAAATTAATATCAAATTAATTTTTGAATAAACACTAATTAATAATATGATTTCCAAATGATATATTAAGCTTGTAATATATTAATAAAATCATTTTGAGTATGAATTTATTATCTCACATAGTAAATCCTACTCTATCTCCACTAGTCGTCCTGTCAAGTTGCATGAGTGAAGGAAACCCAAAAGGACCATGCTACATATCAAATCAAGTATATACTAATTAGAGTTATGGGCATAGACACCCAGTTCAACAGTCTCCCACTTGGATAAGTCTAATAACTAGTATTGCATGTATGTCCTCACAATTTGACTAGCAATCGTAGCTCTCAAAAGCCATTGTTGAACTTTGATCTAATGAATAACACATCCTTCAGATAAGTGATCAAATATTGCACCGTTCTACAAGATATCGTATGGACATGAGACATGGATCATTATCATTCTCTCTGTCCAATGTTTGTTTCCCGATTTTTGATTTATGACGACTGACTAATTGAACAAATCAAATTAGTCCACGCTTGGCAAAGCACTTAGGGTGCCATTACTTAATCAACGAGGGGCCCACATATATCAGTTTTATCCTATTTAGGGTAAAAGGAACGAATAAACTTCGACTCATATTCTTGCACAATTTACTCTTCAAATCACACACAACAATATGTTTTATAACATCAAGTTACTGATGCGTTTATGTAGTATCAATGCATAACCGACTCATAATTAAGGATTCCAATAACGCATTTCTGCAACTATCAATGATTTGCAAAACAACCCATCCTATTATTAAGCAGTTTCTTTAATCCCAAAATAATATCAAATTAATTTCTGATTAAACACTAATTAATAATATGATTTCAAAATAATATATTGAACTTGTAATATATTAATATAATCATTCGGAGTACCAATTTATTATTTCACATAATACATTCTAGTCCCTCTCCATTAGTCATCCTATCAAGTTGCATGAGTGAAGGCAACCTAAAAGGACCATGCTACATATCAAATTAAGTACATACAAATTATAGTTATGGGCTTAAGAACCTAATCCAGCAGTCTCCCACTTGGATAAGTGTAATAACTATTATTGCAGGTATGACCTTTAAATTTTACTAGCAATCGTAGCTTTCATAAGCCACGGTCGAATTCTAATCTAATCAATAATGAATTCTTTAGATAAGTGATTTAATATCTCACCATTCTATAAGATATCATATAGACATGAGACATGAATCATAATCATTTCTTTGTCCAATTTTTGTTTCCCAATTTCCGATTTGTGACGAATGACTAATTGAACAAATCAAATCGGTCCATGCTTGGCCAAGCACTTAGGGTGCCATTACCTAATCATTGAGGGGCCCACAAATATCACTTTTATACCCTTTAGGGTAAAAGTAACGGATAAACTTCGACCCATATGCTTGCATAATTTACTCATCAAGTCACACACAACAATACGTTTTATAACATCAAGTTACTAATGCGTTTACGCATTATCAATGCGTAACCGACTCGTAAACAACCACTTATATGTGTCCATTTCAAGAATATAAGATATTATCATCTCAAAATTACTCATGATAAAATCTATGAAGTAATACTTGAGAGTGCATTAATCTAATACTCAAATTCCTATTTCAAGAGTACATATGAATACTGCAACAGACATTTGTTATCTCTAAGCACTTAGGCAATCTGCAGTCGGATTGATGATAGTCTTAATTCACTAGTTACTTTCAAAAGTACGATCGATTGTGGATATTTGAATAACCTAGTTATTCGGGAAGTAAAACATGCGAAGTCAAACACAATAATAATTTAATCCAATATGGTTTCAAAACTTTTGAATATAAATAAAGCACTTATTATTTAATCACCATATTAATTAGACCTTATTCATTATATAATGTTTCGAACAATCAACTTAATACTTGAATTAAAAGAATAGTGATCCCATGCTCCAAGTATGCACACTATGTTTATCTACAGTTCTTTGCTTTGTGAAATAGATTAATTTAACACATTTCCAATGATGCTCATTTCACAATTCCAAATCCTTATCACAAGTGTAAGAATATTAAATTCTTGCCACTACCAAAATCTGTTAGAGTTTGAACATACATGTAATGATCCTTTTGTAATGTCAAGGCACCAAAGTCACAGAGACTTTGCCAATGATATTACAAAGCATTACATTGGAGATTGGTGTCACACCCCCGAACCAGACGGCGGAAATGTCCGGGGGCTGTTGTGACTCAATTGAATACCATCACCATGAATATACATGAAACATAACATCATACATCACCAAGCATTGGAATAATACAACTGGTAGCGTTTACATCCATTACATTGTCTCAAAATATTACATTCCCCAAAATACATTGTTCATTGTTACTTAAACAACCGCAAAACAATCATAGAGTACAATCCTTTCTTCACTTATCCGTTACCTGAGAATACAAGTATTTTGGAAAATGTCAACATATGAAATGTTGGTGAGTTCATAAGTAATGTTTAAAATTCAATGTTTGTATTGTTTTGAAAACCACCAGAAAATCCGATATTTTTTGAAAATAGTATAGCGTAAAAAATATGTGAAGATCCGTGAGTATGCTTGTTTGTTTTCTATATATGTAAGCATATGAGTTGTGAAATTCGGCGTGTAGTTCGTAAGTGTACTAGTTGAAAACCCTAGGAAAACCCGACGTTTTCCTATCACTTTGCTTTACTTAGTTTATGTGTTGTTGTTTCGTTACGTTAGAGGTGTTCGTTGAGCTCCGGAGGCATTGAGTATACAGAGGGTGGTGAATTGTTGTAACATACGTTAATGAAAACGTCCAGTTGACAACCGTACTAGCGATCCCTTAGGCGTCACTCGCACTTATTCGCACAACTCAATTCTCCCGGACTTGTGTAGTCCCACGACCGAAGAGAAAAAGAGGAGGTGCGAAACCCTCGGTATTTCCCTACGTCGTTCAAGACCATTGCAATTGCGAAGGGCCCGAAGACCAACCCACAATCGTGAGTTCCTGACTTTACTAGCAGCACCGAAGGACCCTTGGGGACCAGCAACACGTTTGCCATTGAAAGTCCTTTTACACGCG